CATTACATGATATAGAAAATATTTAATTTTTTTCTAATAAATAACTTGACAATCTTTATGTAAGCTCAAAATATTGCTTGAAGTCTTTTTATCATATATATATATATATATATATATATATATATATATATATATATATATTCAATAGCAAAAGATGATAATTTTTTTGTAACATGCATAAAAGTTCTTGCACCTACCAATAAAGTTTTGGATATATTAGACTTGTGACTTTCTACTTGAATAAAAAAAGTTTGAATTATACTATAAAAAAATTAAAATTATAAGAAATTTATGCTATTTAAAGATTATACTTCTCTAGTCATAATAAATTTTAAATAATTGAGTTAAAAAGAGATCTAATAACATTAAATGATATGCTATTATGACCATTTGTTACCACTTTTATATAAAATATTTTCATAGGTAATATCTCCAAAAGACAATAGACTACTATCTATGATTTTTATATGTATGGACTTAATTTTTTTTTATTAAGGATGTTTATTATTATTATTTTTAACTAAATATTTATCAATAAAATAAGCTAAGATTTTTAAATCTAATAAAGTAGAGACTTTTTAATTTTTTTGATTCTATAGGAATATTTATTATAAAGCAAGATGAGAGATTTAAAAAGAAAATAGGACCTTTACTTGATATTGCAAAAGATTTTAGCTACATATTCCCTATTTTAGTTGAATAAACTTATTTTTTAAGACATCTTCATTTTGTTGCTTCTTTAGACAATGATATGTAGCATGCTAAGATTCTTTATAATATAAGTACAATTCTTCTTAATGATGTTAAGTCTTATTTTATTCAGGGAGATATTTGCATTATATCATATTAATTTGCATAGATTTTTGCTATAATGAATAAGTTTTAAAAACTTAGAAGTTGTTGTCATAACTTGATTTATTCTTCTCTAATCATATCTTTATTCTTGACATCTTTCAAAAATTCAATTATTGCATATAATGGCTTGAATAATAAATTATTTCAATGAATTTTATTTTGACATTATTAATAATAAAATTTTAACATTGTCTTTTAATTTATGTCAAAATTAATTAATATAGACTTTGTCATTCCAGTCCATATTACAAGCAAGGTTTTAAAATTCAGTAGCATATATGATAGCTAAATATTATCTTTATTTTAGATATAAGACTTTGGTCTTTGCTACCATTTTCTTGATCACTTACTCCAAATGTGGTTCTTAAACACTTTTAAGAATGAATTTATATTGTATAAAAGACACAAATCTTTAAAAAAAAATTAAAATAAAATACCAAATAAAGAACTTTCAAATAGAAGTGTGTCTATAAATCCAACTTGAGTAAATCTATCAAGATATTGATATCAACATATCTTGATAATTTGAGTAAATCTATCAAGATATTGATATCAACATATCTTGATAATCTATCAATATAATTTAAGATAGGATTTAACTTGTTGTATAAATCTTTGAAATTTAGATCTTGTTCCATTGAATTTCTTCATCATATTAATCTTTGCTTCCTTTATATTAATAATAATAAGACTTCTTAGATTCAATTTTAAGATTGATTTATATGCTTTTTTTAATTACACAACTTTTTGGGGTAGAGATTGAATTTCATTATTGACTTCTTCGATAGATGTAGGAATAATATCTCTATAATTTGTATTGATAAAATATAAAATTTTCATCTTAAAAGTATTGATAAGTTTATAAAGATTTGTAATAAATACAAATCTATTTTTATTTCTACCAATTATAGCATCTATAATTTTTCCTTCTATTTCTATAGTAGACAGTTTTAACAAATCTACAAATAAAATTAAAAGAGGATAATTTGCAAGTTTTAATATCAAATAAAAATTTCTACTAAGAGAGATAGTCTACTCTTTTTAACAAAAGAATCAATGTAAGAAAACAAAAAATATTAATTCAAAGATAGATAGCCTATAACCTTCAAAACACAACAAATGACGTGATGTAAGCCACTGTTAATCTTAGAAATTACAATTAATAACGTTAAGATATTATAGAAGAACAAATTATAGAAGCAAGTATAAATAAGGTAAAAAAATAAAAGAAAGTGAGAAAATCAAAGTGGTTAGCTGCCCATGTGTACAAAAGATAAGGTGGTTTAAATTACTTTAGGAAGTTAAAACCACCTTTGATAGTTATGGTAGTTAGAAACAAATTAGTTTTATTATGTTTTAAATAGTATTAGTAGAAAATTACTATAAAAAAATATAAATAGCTTCAAAATCATATTATTAGTATCAAAAAGAAAATCATAATAAAGAGATTAAAATTGACATGCTTGCATGTCATTTCATATAATTTTTGGTCTTGTATTGAGTTTTAAAGAGTTGCAAGAAGAATCAAAGTTATAAATGTTTGAAGTATAGGTTGAGGAAGATGAAGTCAAAAAGAAATTAATAAAGATATAAATGTATGAAGTCTGAGTTAAAAAAAATAAAATTATAGATGTGTGAAGTTTATTGACAAATAAAATTGATAGATAAAATTAATAGATAAAATGAAGATAGTTTCTAAGATAAATTATCAACTATGACTTTGACAAAATCACAATTTGTGAGAAACAAGTACAAGGATAGTTCCTATGTGAAAATATAGAAGGGATACTTGAGATTCTTGAGGTGTGAGAATCTATGTATTTAGCCACTTACTTTAAAAATAAAATAAGAATAGTGAAATATAACTCTTGTCAAATTGTCAAGAATATAAATTACAAATAATCAAAGAATGAATACATTCTTGTATTACTAAAATAGTATAGATAACCACTAAAAGATGGTATAATATTAAGACTAAAATAACTATTGTTAACAACAAGAAGACCAAAGATTCATAAAAATAAGACTAAGAACAAGAAATGCATTGATAAGAGTGAAAAGACTTTATTTTTACTTCCATATATACTATCTAATTAGGAGCCATGTGGCAATGTTTTATATGACCTCCAACACGTATGTACCTTACAAGATAAATTTCCTACATATATATTCTATAGAAAACTTATTGGCCAAATTTTCAACCTATCAACTACCTATAAAGACAAATAAAATCAAATCTACATTTATAAAGCTTCTCTATAAGATATTATTAAATCTACTTACTTCTATCTAATTCCTTTAATCTAAGTAAATATATATATATGTTTGTGACAAAATAATCAATTCAAAGGTCATATATAGAAAAGATGAAATAAAATATATATTTTTCTTACACAACACAAATTAATGTTGTTTGCAAAAGAAAAAAAAAATCTATTAAATTATCCTTAAAATATGGTTTTTGAAATGAATCCAAGAAGCGATGTTAAAAAATGCTTAAAAAAATTTATATATATATATATATATATCATACTTCTTATAATGATTTGAATCAAGAAATGAATTAACATATTTAGACTTACAACATAAATAAAAAAAAGTAAATAAATAATATTTATTTTGTGGCTTCTAATTACTATATGATATGTCCAAATGAGGACTTTTCTTTACCAAGTAGGCAACATTAATGAAGCTTTTGAACCATAACATTTCAAAGTGGGCTTCTACATATAAATCTCCTTATAATTAAATATTTTTAAAGTATAATTACATATTATATCACAAATAAATAGGATAAAAACATGATGGTATTCACATCTTTGAAATTCTTTCTAAAATGATTCAAACATGTTCTATTTATACATTTTTTGTTTATTTCTTTTACAATAGAATAAAAGTAAAAAATATATATATATATGCCCATACATATAAAATGACTTACATAATCATATACACTTACCTTCTTTCCAAAAAAATTACACACAAGATAATCCTAACCTTAAGAAATGAGGTCTTGAATAAATTAGCAATTGTTTAATGCGAACTAAGGTAAAAATACTTGCTAATGTTTACAAGGGAGGGTTTCTGGCCGGATTTTTCTTTCACGGTTGGGGTTTAGGCGCGAAGGCCAAACCTCCCCAACGACATTACCGATGCATGTTCGGTGACGTAACCCTAATTTCAAACTAATTCCACGGCCCGTGTCGGTGGTATCTTCCACAGGCCGCCAGTTTGTCGACGTTCCCAAGGCAAGTCGCCGAAGAATCGCTGCACTTCCATCTCATGGAGCAGTGAAATTAAAGTTCCGCGCTCCAGCACCTTTTCCGTTTGATTTGCATGGAAGCGCAATGCGAAGCATAATGAGGATTATCAATATTTATTCATAAAGATATAAACACAAATATGAATAAATGCGCAAGTAAGTATATTCTCGTAGCGCCCCACAAACCTCCTCTTGGAAGGTGCAGACACCTGACAGGGCCAGAACTGCGCATGCGATGGAATCGTGCGAGGGGCATCGAAGCACAGCGCAACGTCTATGGGTAACGGAATGATTCGAAACCCGTTCGACTCCAACAGCCATTCCAAGGCTCTGCAACAACTCCCCCCCGCATGTGCCTGCTGCCACACACATATTCAAATTTTCCTCCCATTTCCCAGACTAATGCCCCCTTCATCTCGTGCCTCCCGGCAGCAGCATTGGAAAGCATAGCTTTTCGTTTTCGATACTCCTGCAGACCCCCCCCCCCCCTCCCACTGCAGAAGAAAAATGTAAGTACAAGTTCAGCAGCATCGTCATTAGCAAGATACAGTACCCACTGTAACAATTCAAACTGCCGCCAGTATAGCGTCTTTTTCGAGAGGACTGCTGAACTTGAAGTTGGTTGCGAGGACGAAGTATTCGGTTTGGTCTACTGGGTAGGTCGCTTGGTATCCTGCTGAGATAGCTCTGGACATCGCCCAGTGGGCTTGAGTTTTTCACTTGGCTGCAGTTTGCGGGTCTGAGGCACACCACTGATCGCACTGTGGCACGTGGGTGGAGCTTCATTTTAAATTTTGAGCTGCCAGTGTCGTGGTTTGCAGGAGAGTCGGCTGTGCATTGAGGCTTTGGTCACGCTCGCAGAGTCTATTTGGTTTTGGTTTTGGTTCTGTTCCAGTACAATTGAAGTATTGAAAGGATCTGTGTCGCTAGCGCCTTCACTCATTTGCTTAAGAAGTGTCCTCCTTATTTTGTACATGTATTATCTGCTCTGAGAAGTGTCAGTTTTGTTCGCTCCGTGAGTTTACCTGGTGCTTATGAAAGGTATTACATGCAAATGCTCCCGCGATTGAAGGTCTTTAGCCTCGAGTCGTTGCAACCTTGGGACAGTGATGTTGTGAGCTCGTGGTTGCTATTTCACTCCTTGTGGTTAGGCACGATTGCAATTATTTGCTCCAGTTCAGTGCGAAGGTGCTCGTGTTCATATTAACTCTGGCTAGTTCTGATACTCGAATGAAAACTCGATCCCTTCATACCTGAGGCGCTCCGTCACTAGAACAACTGTGATAATAAACAACATTTACAGTTATCTAGTGGTGAAGTGTTTACTCTCAGCTTTAAGTTAAATGGTTGGTAGCATATTTTGTTTGATTTTTAAAAGAACATGCTTAACATTTAAACTGCGAATTGGATTCTTACCAGGTATAAGTCCTGACAGTGTTTCGGATGATCGGCCACGATTAGTTGTACTACCTCCACCCGCCAGCAAGGAGATAGGATAAAAGCGCAATAAACATCATGGGCGCGTCCAAGAAACTTCTGAAGACGCTTGCCAAAATGAAGAGGATGGTGACTCCAAGTTCACCGGACCACCGGGATATGCATGCGGTGCGTTTCATTCTTTACGTTGGTGGCTATTGTCATCAGATGAACTGAAAGTTGCAGCATTATAGTTCTACTGTGCATTGACTCTATGAGAGTTTTCAACTCTTAACGGAGCTAGAATTTTTGAGGCGTTGTGGCGTTGTGCAGAAGCAAGCTGATGGCGAGAGGAAACAAACTAGGGCCGCACGGAAGACATATGCAGTGGATACCGCCTCCAATAGTTCAATTAAGGACGCCCAGGGTACAATTATCAAAGACGTCAAAGGAATGCTCAAACTAGCAGACTTGGTGAAGAGAGTAGATAACTATCTGCTTATCTCTACGAAGCAGCGGCAGATGAGCCTTGAAAACTTGGCAGCTCTTCGCATCCAGACGGCATTCCGAGCATTCTTGGTAAGCAGTAATCTTCTAATTTGAAAATTTATCACTTTTGTAACATATTGGTCATTTGTAATACTAAATTTATTACCTCCTTCAAAATGCCCTGGTAGTGCAGTACTCATTTTTCGGTTATTTTTACAATATGTAATCATTATTATGACTTTTTATAATTTTTTGTGCACCCGTGTAGGCAAGAAGGGCGTTAAGAGCATTGAAAGGCCTAGTGAGGCTCCAGGCTCTAGTGCGGGGCCACATTGTGCGTCGTCAAGCATCCATCACCCTGCGGAGCATGCAAGCTTTGGTTCGAGTGCAAGCTCGAATCCGGGCTAGTCGGGTGAGGAAGTCATCCGAGGGTCAGGCTGTGCAACGCACTATCTCAGAGCGCAGGTGTCGCAAAGCCATGCTCCTAGACATCGAGGTAAAAAAAACTCTTTAATCAAACTGATTCAACCTGATTTTAAGTACTGCTATAATTGCAGAGGTCACCTACATTCAGCTCAATGAATGATGCATTCGTGTTGTATCCTGGCAGCGGGGTTGGTGCGCGGACTCGGGGACAGTTGAAGATGTGCAAGCCAAGATCCAACAGAAGCAGGAAGCGGTGATGAAGCGTGAGCGAGCATTAGCCTATGCTAACAAATTTCAAGTATGTTCCTCAAGCTGATGGCATTCGTCCATATTGTTGAAATCATGTCAGGGATCTATTAACTGTGTGCCATGACTGATCGATGGATTTTTCTTAAATTACAGTGGATCACTGAGGAAGAGCCAAAATGCGGAGTGTATTCAGACCATGGCCCTCCAGACAACCAACTCTGGGAGTGGAGTTGGCTAGAGCGGTGGATGGCAGCACGTTCTTGGGAGAATCGCGGGCTTAACAGCTGTGGCTTTAAGGAAAAGCCTCATTTCACCTCAGAAACAGAGAGCTTAACTGACAGCACATCCCCTCCTCCAGCGCCGAAGATTACAAAGCAGTGTAGCTCCAGAGGCAGCTTCATCGGCAGCACTCGGGATCAAGTGAGTGTACGCGGAAGTAAACGTATATCTTCGCCAACTAGGTCCCGAGAAAGCCACGCCTATCTTCAATCCTCCACCACAGGCGAGTACAAGCAGCGTGATGGTCTGTTTGTGCCATTCTGCGGCCAGGAAGTCGGAGGTGCGTCATCAGCTCCACGGCCACCGCATGGTCGAGCGGCGCTAGCGCCTAAAGATAGCAACGTCCCCAGTGGAGGACAACCCAGCTACATGACACCCATAAAGTCGTCTAAAGCGAAAGAGAGGTCCCTGAGCACACCAAAGCAGAGGCCGGGGAACTCCCAATCGATCTCTCGAAACGGACAAGCCAACCGGAAGCGGCTTTCATTGCCCGCTAAGAACGTAGTGGAAGGTTTGGTGAGCCCCGTTTCGAAGTTCCAAGCTTCTGGTGAGTTCTCGCTCAGTCCACCGACAATGCAGTGGAAGGCAGCTCAGACACTCCCACCGATCATGCGGTTCGACAGACCTTACTCGAGGAGTGGCGAGATTGGCATGATGGGGAGTAGCAACGCTCTACGGAGGCCGTTCAGATAATCTAACTAAATTAGCTCATGATATCGATCCTCTTCGCCACAATCGTTATAGATGGAATGGTCTCCCTGGGGGCTCATAGCTCATTGGTTCCCCAATTGGGAAACTAGACTGCTAGATTAGAATGTAGGCAAAAATGGTTTCCATGCATTCAGTTTTCGTCCAGTGTGATTCGTATTTCATGCCTCGTGAAATTCGGCTGCGATTTCTCTTGTAGAGAGGAGCACCACCGACGAATCTGAGACCTACTGGTGTTATATTTCGCTTTCGTAAGAGGAATTTTGACGCTGAGCTTTTTCAAATAGCACATGCGCAGTCTGTTTGTCACAACTGAGTCATAAAATTTATTTGAAGTGAACCACAAAGAGATCCTGCTCAGGATTTCAAGACAACGCTGAGATGTGTAATTGCTTGCGCCGACCGTGGGACTCGAACCCACGACCACGTGGTTAAAAGCCACGCGCTCTACCAACTGAGCTAGGTCGGCTGGCTGACATAATATCTTCCAAAAATATATATATAGTGTAATACTTCTTAACAAAAAAGAGGTTCATGAAACTAAAATTCGTATTCAGTGAGTCTTAATTAACGTTGAATGAAGGGCAAACCACATTTCGGAAACTAGTCAAACCACCACTTGTGAATGATTTCATTCCTCAAAAAGTCGATTCACTGCCCCCGAATATATTATTTATTCACAAACCTATGAAGTCTTTATTAATAAATTGCTTCTTCCCTGATAACCAAGTGCTTGAAGGATATGTATGGATTACACGGAATCGGAAGAAACATGCTTTGAAAGTTGAAGGGGATGTGGTGATAATGTAAATCAATGTGATGTGAAAATAATGGGAAAGTGGAAGATCACTACTGGAATTCAAGTTTAGGTCAAAAAAATTTGATTTCAATTTAAGACTAGAAATTTCGTTGTAGACAATTCAGGAATATGTTCACCTAGCTGAGTGTTAGGTTGAAAACTATCGAACCTATGTTTTTTGAAATTCTAAATTGGGAGATCAAAACTCAATCACAAGTACAGTCTATACTGGTAATAATAATATAAGAATGAATTTGTGACACCTCTAAAATAAATAAATAAATCATTAATGAAAAACAAAGCGTGCTATCAATTATCCCTCCTGAAAACAAAAATCAAGGGAAAATACTCCAATTGGTACCCAGAGTTTGGGTTTCGGCTTCAAACTGGACGTCGTTTTGCAGCCTCGGAAATGCCGCCATCGCCATCGCCACTGGTCACTGAACTTTGAAGCTCACCGACGAGGTAACACGAAACATGATTGGAGAAGAAGAAGCAAACACACAGATGGAAAGACTCCGGCAGTAGAAGTCTGAAGAAACACATGAACGGAATGGATTGAAAGGTTTGCTGCACAAGAGATTCTGGTGTTGCAGGAACAGGAAAGACGGTGCGGTGGAGATGTTGAGCTGCAAACGTCCCTCCATCGCCAGGGAGCTGACTTTTCATGGGCCTGATGACGTCTACGACAGAACAAGGGAGATGACTCGTCGTCGGTGTTCATTACAAACATCCACCGGAGCAATTTGCCGACTGAATCGAAGACCGGTCGTCGTAGAAACAGCTCCTGAGGGAAAAACTTGCTATCAATCCATCCCCCTACTGGAAGCCCAAGGAAGTTCACAGCCTCCAGGTGTGCGAGAATCACACCTTTACCCACTGCTAATTGATGGGGTGGGGCGAAACATCGTCTCGAGGCTACAACCCGAGTGAGTGTCGAATAACTAAGGTTCCTGTGTTCAACTTGCGATCGATACTGGTATCGTGAGGCTTGGATGGGAGCAGTACGATGGCAGAGCAGTGAGATGAAGAGTCAGCCCTAACAGAAAAAGAAGAGGTTTGCTGCCATCTGTGAGGGTTTTCACATGGATGGTGACTTAACGGTGAGGTTGCGGCTCAAGGCTGCAACAACGCTGCCCACGCAAGTCACCGAGGTGGTCTTCCCTACGTTAGCAGCTTGGTAGTTCCAGAATTCTGCATCGACATCTCCGTTCGCGGCCTTGACAGCCACGGCAACATCCCTCCATCTGTGGTTTGAAGCGCTTTCGTAGCTCAAGTCACATGGAACTCTCCTCAAGCAGGACGGACTCAGCATTCTCACGTCGTGAACAACGAGCGAGACGGCTCCGTCTCGCACGTAGAGCTCGTGATCTTGGGATCCGATACCGTAAAAGGTGCTAGCGGAGCTCAAGTTGAGTGACATTTGCCTGCTGTTCGCCCTCCTATCCCACAACGAAACGGTGCACCCAGGATTGGCCGTTACTGGTCCGCCTGATACACAAAACCTACACATGTTAGGCACAATGAACACATACAAATGGAATGGTTACAGTTGCTCCAGTTGGTGATAAAAATGCAGTGTAAAGGTGACGGTGGTCGAGGATGGACCTGTAAACAATGTATTGGATGCTTCGCTTCTGTCCAAGTGGACGCACTGCATCACGGAGTGGTATGTCTGGTAGATCTTCTCGAATGTGGGACACACGAGATTTGCAATGCAGACCAATCCCCCGACGTTTCCGAGAACGGCAACTTTCGGCTCCCAATTCACATCAAAAACAGTGATCACGCCGGAGAATCTGTTCGGGAGGTGAAGCATCTTCAGAGTGGATTCGGTCTTACTGTCCCATAATCTGACTACATCGTTCGCCCGGCTTGTTCTGATTAGGGATCCTGTTTCTCCCAATTGGTAGACAGGGTGACGGTCACTGAAGACGGCGTCGCGTATTCTAAGCTTCAAGAGAGGATCCCATTCATAAGACGAAGGTTTAGAGACTGTACATGAGAGAGAGGGAGGAGCTGTGCATGCGAAGGGCTCCGTGAGAGATTGCGCCCAGAAGAGTAAGATGTAATCGGCATTACGAGATGGGAGGAAAGCTGGCGACACATCCCAGTCGACTCCCTCGCGCTTCACAACCGGTGCCGTACTTCCAATGCGTTGAAGAGGAACTAACAAGGATTTGTCTGCGATCGTCCGAGAGCCCGCAGATTTTGTTCGCCTTAAAACAATCTGTGCACAAGAACAACCGCACCCCCTTAAGCAAGACTGTCGCTCTTATCGGCACTTGAGGGAAACACCTTGTACTCATTTTCCGTAGCCTGAATTCAGGGGGGAGAAAGAAAATGACGGAATCATGGCCGCAATCTGATTGAGAGTTCGAATTCGGAGGAATTACCCTACGAAGAAAATGCTGTATCAATTTTAACGCCTCGGCCTCGGATACACTGTATGCCTAGGAATGCGCCGATTTCTGTCGTCCTATATTCCAGGGAACTATTGGAAATGTGTGGCTGTTAGAGGGACATTGCTAGAAGAGCTCATTCGGCTTTGTTCAACGAAGTGGGTATTGAAAACATCGTACACCTCGCGGGAATCAAGCCATGACGAACAGGAAAAATACCTTCTCAGAGAGAACGCGACCAGCGAAGGGTTCCTTCTTGGGCAGCAGGGAGCATGGCGAAGTCTTCTTCTCGAAGATGAAGAACATTTCCGCAGCCACTTTGCTGGCGGCTTCCGATGCACAAGTCGAGGAGTTCGAAGCAGCTTCGTTGCAGGAATCTGAGGAGCAGCTCAACATTTTGGCACTGAACATCCCGCTTGCAGTGACAATGCTGCCATCGGACATGGAGGAGAACGAGAGCAGCCGCAGTCGCACATGGCCCGGCTTGGCTCCCCATGACCAGCCCACGCTCACAACACTCACCCTCGTCAGTGAGAAGACCGCAATCACAACGGTAGCTAGAATCGCAACCCACACCCATTCCGATCCCAGAAACCTGATAGATCCGAGCCCCACCCCCGGATTCTGCAGCATCACCCCTCTCACCAACGCATCCATGTCCTCCATGAGTGAGAAGTCACTCCGAAACCATTCGCACTATTCTCAGAACTCGAACCATCTACCACCAACGACGCTGCGAACTCCTCTGGCACACAGCCAGCTTCGCGAATCTGAAACCAAGCTGTGGAGAGATTGTGAGATTTTCAGAAGAAGGGACCTACGGAGACGGGGCTATTTGTAGCAATTGGCAAATGCACAAGCTGTGGCAGGAATTTCATGAACATGTGGTAAACTATGAATTTGGTAGCAGTACTTTTGGAGAAGTGTGGGGAGGTGTTCTATTATGGAGATTCCAAAGAAAATTTTGCTAAGCAATGCGAATTCTTTTCTTTAAAAAACCATCCGAGACAGCGCACCCTCCGTTGCTTCCCCGAGACCGCGGCCCTTGTGCATGGAGTTGTTGACTGCATTCAAAGGCTTGCGCCGTGAAATTTTGAATTTTTTTCAATTTTGGTTGGAAAAATTTCCTCGCGGATGGCTGAGAATTCCAACTCCTGTTGTTCTTCTACGTATTTCTTACGTGGATTTAGATCCAACTGTGGAACAGCAACTGAAGAGGATTGTGCAAAGAGAGGCACGGACATGAAAACCTAATTGATTCGATCATATTTTACTGCTGGAGAAATGAATTCGGGCAAAGTGGACGATAACGGATCCTTGAAGGGCTCATTATTTGCAAGGTGTGCCCTGGGGACCTTTTCCACGAAGAGGGGGCGACGTGCTTGACAAAATTAGAAGGAGCATGTCATGCTATTGGGTAAGGAAATAAAGTCGTGCATGCCTTCCTAGTTAGAAATTAGATGGAATTGTAACTATTTCGCAGCGGCAACTGTTAGGCAATCTGTATAAGGCTGATCATGCACTCTGCGTCGCTGGTGTGAATGTTCCCATGAGCCTTTTCTCTGTTTCACAATACCCAAGTAATGAATCCTCATGTGGGTTATGATCCGTTATGTTCGCCTTCTATTGGGATCATTTATTACTCCCATATTACCCTAAACCACCCTCACGCACATCGTACATTTTGCTGAGTGTGTGGATGTTGCTAATGTACACGAGTGCTTTTTCCATTAGAAGACACGATGTTTTTATACATGGTGGGTATCCTAGCCGCAGTACGCAGTAAAAGAGTTTTCACCTAAGCGAGATGAGGTGACGTCATTGTTGCAGTTGACGTGAAGTGAGTGGGATGATTTATCATTGTTGTTTATGTAGAGCGAACACAAAGTGACTTGGCTGTCGTCGTGGAGCGAGAAGGAAGGGACTTCATTGAGCGTCAGACGAGGTGTATATTTGGAAGTGATGTTGTCAAGGGATGAGGAATGCAGGTTGGGTATTGCCAACACTTCCCCTCAATCTGCATTCATTATTCCTTCTCGCGATGGCACATTACCATTTCGCTTCAACCAATGCTCTTGAGCAGCTTGAGTATGTAATTGATGATTTACCACTGGTGAGACATTCACGATTTTGTTTCCATTTTTTCTCTTTCAGTTCATGTTACCGCCATGTTAGCGATTGATCTTTTGTTGGTTGTGTTTAATACTAGGTCTTGCTTCTTTCGGTCTGGCTTATTGTTGTGATTCTACAACGAGTTTGCAAGTTCTTCAATCTCTTGCTCTCTTGGTTGTTGGTATCCGTATTGCAAAGGAACAATGAAAGAGCTATTGATGTTTTTTTGGTGTTGCAATCAACAGAGTTGCTGGGAGCTGGGATTTTGTCAAAGACACTCTCCGAAGTTTTATGTTGAGCGTTGTGGTTGTAGCATAGGAATCTTTATGTCTTGGTTAGAATGTATGAAACAAGTTCAAGGATTTTGGAGAGCAGAATTCAAAAAATTTAGAATTTGGAACAAGGCAAATGAGTACCTTCAATTAAAAAGACAAGTTTAGACAATCTAGGATTGAATTCTCCCTTTTTGTATATCTACCTTGTTACTATTTTTAGTCTATCCAATTTTTATTTTCAATACATTCAATTGGTTCTAAAGCCTTTGTAAAAATATCAACTTGTAAATATGTAGGAATGTATCTTATTTCAATTGTTCCATGATGCTTATCTCTAATGTGATGATGATTTAGTTCTATATGCTTTGTTCTATGGTGCAAGATTGGATTTTAAACTAAAATGATATTGAATGTTTATCATCTAGGTGAAGTTTTTTAAATAGTCTGTAGAAGTATATAATGTTGCGGGTGATTTTTGAGAGAATGTAATATTCAACTTTTGTCAACGAAAGTGCAAACGATGATTGAAGCTTCCTTGACTATGCTAGAGGTGCTAATCCTATTTTATAGAATATATTTGATGTTGATTTGTAGAAGTCAACATACTCAATCTGTATTAGCAAAGGTAAAGAATCATCTTTTGTCATTGGAAGAATAAAATATTCCATGGTCTATGGTACCCTTGAGGTATTGTAGTGTTTTCTTTATTACAATTAGATGAATGAATTGGAGGTTATACATGTACCTCAATACCTTGCCCATTGCAATTTGGATGTCATAAGGACTTATGATTGTATATGGTAGCTTCCTTATAAAGCTTTGGTATAGCTTATGATCAATCATAGGTATTTTAATTTTTCTTCATAATTTAGATTTTGAATCTATTGGTACTAAAAAAAGATTTGTACTAAATCAATCTAAATTTATCCAATAAGATCTAAATATAGTATCATTAATAGAAATAAATCTCTTTCATTAGTATATTTTAGTTCAATCTCCAAATAAAGTTTTGTATCCTATAAATGTGTCATTTCAAAGTTGTTCATTAATTTATCCTTAAATATTTGAATATGAATAATATTATCTTTTATAACAATAATATCTTCCACATAGAGTAATACTATGGTATAGTTATGATTTCAAATTGTAAAATATATGTTAAGATCTTCATTACTTTTTTGGCTATTTTGGTCTTGTAAATTTGTGTCAATTTAATCAAAGCAAGCTAATTTTCAAACTTAATCAAACCAAGCCAATTTTCATTTCTTAACATTACTACTAGGTCCAAACTTCATTTTGAAGATCTACTTAGCTGATATTAGAGTTTTACCTTTGGATAAGTCTATCAAAATCTAAGTACTATTTTTTTTCTTAGATTCCACTTCTTATTCCATTGCTTCTTGCCATCTAGTGTATTGAATTATTTCTTCATAGTTCTTTGGTGTAGAAGTTGTTTCAATTATAAGCATATAATTATCTTTTAATTTTATATTAGATTTTATGTTTTGAATAGGATATCTTTGTTGATAATCTTGTTCTATGGTTGCATGTTGAAAAGCACGCCTAAGTATTGTCTTCTAAACAAACTCAAACTGTCCATTCGAGTTGATAAAGGATTTGTGTTTTTTTTTCTTCTCCAAAATTGGAATTCTTAGTGATGGAGGTTTTGTCATCCATTTGTTAATTTGTTGTATCATATGTATTTTTGGGTGATAAATCAATCTTTAGAAATATTTATAATTCTTTTATTAGGATTAAATTTATAGTTATATAATCAAAACTTATTAGAATTTCATCAAATATTATGTATCAATTAATTTGGATCTTGTAATATATCAAATTAAATACTCTATAGGCTTTTGTTTGATCATCATACCTTAAGAATGTCCATTTGATTGTTTTACTTTCTTCAATTTGTCCTATTTTTTTTAGGATGTAGAAATAGACAACAGATCTAAAGACTTGTAAATAGTCTACATATAATTTGGTCTTGCTAATGAACTAATCTAGAGTTTTATCTTAGTTTGTTATAGTGGAGCTAAGATTTACTAGATAATTAGGAAAATAGATAGATTTTATCCACAAGTAAGCTAATAGTCTGCATGCTATCAACATTAAGTATTCCATTTCTATTATTGTTTGATTTTTCTATTTCTTAACTCTATCTTGTTGTAGAATATGCACCATGGTAAGTTACATATTTATTCTATGGTGTATTAAGAATGTGTTGAATTCTTGCAATAGATATTCTCCTCTTCCATCTATTCTTAAGTATATTATTTTTTTCCCTATTTCTTTTCTTTTTTTATTTATATTTTAAATTCTCTAATTTTTTTCAATATTTCATCTTTACTTTACAAAAAATATACCTAATTCTTTTAAGAGTTATTATTTGCAAATACTAAAAAGTACTTAGAATCTTCATAAGATGGTATTCTCATGGATCTTATTGATTCAAAATGTATGAGTTGTAGTACCTTTTTCAGCACAATGTGGTGAGGTTTTTAGAGTTTTTTCTTGATGTTGTCATTCCATGAAACAATCTTTGTATGCTTCTTGACATGTATTGATTAGTGAAAATTCTTTTACGTAGTGAGCTTGTGACAAGTGCTCTAATCTACCATAATATAAGTACCCAAACTTTTTGTGCCATAGTTATGTATTTTCTTCTATTATTATTAAATTTGCTTCAATGATTTTTGGATTAGTTGTCTTGTCATAAAATTGATAGTCTTTTTTCTTTGTTTCTTATTTATGTGGCTATTAAATTTCTATTTTATTTTTTATCTAATATTAAATATTTATTATTTTGAATACTATTTTTCTATTATCTATTAATGATCTAACTAAGATCAAGTTATAATTTAAAGCTGGCACATATAAAACATTATATAGATTTATTGAATCAGATCCAAATGATATATTTGTAAACTTAGCAACTTCGATCTTATATGATTTTTCATCTATACTTTTCATTGCTCTACTCAGAGTTTGTTCATCTATTAGCTAGAGATTTGAGACTTCTCTAATAAAGTGATTGCAAGCTCTTGAGTCAACATATCAATTCCCATTTTGGTATTTGATGAGATTGGCTTTACTTTTGTTATCAACATATCTTCCATAAGTATTCCTTTTTATATGATTGATGATGAGGTTGTAGTATTGATTTTGTGAGCGATTTAACGCAATGTAATTAGACCTTCTATATGTATAGAAATAAAATGATTATATATTTTTGTGTTGTCCAAATCTAGGTATAGGAAATGATGGTCATATTCCAACAAAGCTCGATGGTCCTCTTGGTATATTTGAAGTTGATTGATTATGTGGGATCTTTCTTATCCAAAGTATTGTGACATTCCTTGAGCTAAGATTCTTTTCTTTTGACCTCATCTTTATGTGAAATAATTATATTTGTCTCTTCTAAGTATAAGGGACAAGAACTTTAAAAAAAAAATTAATAAGTGAAACTTTTTTCAAAGAAAGATGACAAAATAGAAATAACTAAATATGTATATTAAGAAAGAAACTAAAATGGTTATTGTCAAAAGACAAGAAAACTAGAGATCTTTGAAACTA